GATGCAGATCGGACGACAAGCATGCCTGGCCCGTACTCTTGAAACGCTATCGGTAGACATCTGTTGTCTTTCAGAGACCAGATTACAAGACTCTAGCGCCGTCATCAGAATGGCCTCTCCGGTAAACTCTGACGCCAAATACTATTTGCGGCTTTCCGGAGATCCAGAATCTGCCGCCACAGGTCAAGCTGGTGTTGGGGTTGTATTAAGTGCCAGGGCTGAATCAGCTCTGCATGACTGGATCCCAGTCAACAGCCGACTATGTGCAGTCAGACTAAGAGGTTCATGTAACGTAAGCAGGCGTCGAGATGTTAAGCGTGCCTTGTTTGTCGTCTCCGCCTACACCCCTACAGACTGCAGCCCGGATGCAGTTAAAGATAGCTTTTACCAACAACTACATGAACTTCTGCGTTCCTCCAAACGGACGGATATAGTCATTCTTGCCGGGGACTTTAACGCACGGGTTGGCCGCCTTCTACCAAGTGAGCACCACATTGGGGGTAGTTTTGGTCTCGGTGGCAGTCGATCAGACAATGGAGACAGACTACTTGCTCTTTGCTCCGATCATCGCTTGTTTCTTTCGAGCACTAGTTTTCGACACTCGAGGAGACAGACTGCTACCTGGCGCCCGCCCTCACAAACGCAAGAGTGCTCCCAGCTTGACCACATAGCAATCAGTTACAGATGGCGCGGAAGCGTAACGGACTGCCGACCGTACTGGTCAACTTTTCTAGACTCTGATCACGCATTGGTTCGTGCTAAGATTTGCATGCGTTTCGGAGGATCACCTAAGCGCGCCCACTACCGACCGGACGTCGCGAATCTACAAAACGCTGCGGTTTTAACCAGGTACCAAGCCTCACTGTCAACTTTGCTTGGCAAAACTATTGACGGTGATCTCGATTCGCAGTGGGCGCATATCAAAGATGCGTTAGTTTCCGCCAGTATCGACACTTGTGGAGTCACCCGTCACCCACCGAAACATTGGATTTCCGCCGACTCCTTGTCGCTGATGGACAGACGCCGCTTTATCCCATCGGATTCCGGACACGTTGAAGAACGCCAATACCTTGGTCGAGAGTTGCGCAGGAGTCTGCAAATGGACCGCGAAGCTTGGTGGTGTGAACGTGCTAGGGAGATGGAGCTTGCTAGTCTCTCTGGTAATACCAGGAAACTCATCCATCTCCTTCGAGTCACCGAAGATGCTCGATCTGGTATAAGTGAAACAATATGCGAAGCGGATGGCACCTTAATCACCAACCTTCAACGACGGTTGGAGCGATGGGCCGAACATTTTTGCTCGCAGTTTTGTTGGCCCCCAGCTCCATCTGCTACCTCTGGCACTCGCGCTGGGGCCGAGTGGTCTACCCCAACAGACCCTCCCTCTTCCCAGGAAATCGAGCAGGAGCTCCGGCATATGAAGCGTTATAAAGCTCCCGGCCCTGATGGTCTTCACCCAGCTCTATTCAAAGATGGTGGCGCATCGCTGGTCCGAGAACTCGCCGCTTTGTTCTCGAAAATTTGGTCGAAAGAGAAGGTTCCATCATCTTGGGGTGAATCGATAGTCGTACCCATCTTCAAAAAGGGCCTGCGCACAATCTGCTCCAACTACAGAGGAATAAGCTTAGTCCCCATCGTTTGCAAGCTGCTGGTGTCCATCATACTTCGCAGGCTATCCCCAACACGCGAATCGTTGCAACGAGAAGAACAAGCTGGGTTTCGCCCTGGTCGCGGCTGCATCGATCAAATCTTCACACTTCGCCAGATCCTCGAGCTCCGCCATGTGTATCAGAGGCCAACGATTGCTGTGTTCCTGGATATCCGTGCAGCCTTCGATTCTGTCGATCGTACCGTACTATGGCAGTGCCTTCTGAGGAACGGTGTCCCCATACGGTGTCTCCATACTGCGCGCTCTATACAGTCTGACCTCGGGCAGGGTTAGGGCTTATGGCATGCTTTCGCCTACCTTTGTGGTCTCCAGTGGAGTTCGACAAGGATGCCCTATCTCTCCGTTCCCATTCAACTTTGCCATTGAGGATGTCCTGAAGAACGCTCTGAGCGATTCGTTGAACGCTGGCGTTGAGCTCCTCCCAGGTAGTCGAGTTGTTGATTTGGATTATGCTGATGATATCGTCTTGCTGGGTGACGATCCACATGTCGTCCAACTTGCATTAAACCGCTTGACGATTGAAGCATCAAAGTACGGTATGTACTTTTTGCCATCCAAATGCAAGGCTCTCCTTCAAGACTGGCAGGTGCCTCTGCCTGCACTCACGCTTGCTGGTGAGACACTGGAGGTTGTGGAGAGCTTTGTCTACTTGGGAAGTTGCATCACTGCTGGCGGGGATATTGGAGACGAGATTTCGATGCGCATCTCGAGAGCACGCCTCGCTTTTTCTAGGCTGAGGCATTTGTGGCGTCGCCACGACATTCGTCTCTCCATCAAGGGGCGGGTCTATTGTGCAACTGTTCGTGCTGTACTGTTGTACGGATGCGAGACCTGGCCCATTCGTAAAGATGACTTGAGCAGGCTATCCGTCTTCGAGCACCGCTGTCTGCGGTCCATTGCCCGTGTGTGGTGGCAGCACCACGTAAGCAATGTGGAAGTTAGACAGCGTGTCTTGGGACGTGGAAGCCACTCGCTCGAGGAGCTCATCTCACTGCATCAACTGCGGTGGTTGGGACACGTATTGCGCATGCCTGTCCAGCGTTACCCCCGTCGTGCGTTGTTTGCACTTGCTGGACAGGGCTGGAAGAGACGGTCTGGTGGACAGCCTACAACATGGAGAAGCCGCATGAAAAAGTTGACGAAACAATTGGTCCCGGCCGGTTGTTGTCGACTACCTGGTTGGGGTCCGAGAGATGAGGATACTTGCTGGTTGAAAACTTTGGAAGTTATGGCTCAAGATCGATGTCATTGACGGACGTGTGCATCGGTTTGTTGCGGTGTCCCTTCTTCCTCCCCCTAAAAAAAGAACAAACTGAAAAAAAAATTTCAAAATCTGTGAGTGGTAAACTTGACAAAAAAAGCATTTCTTGTTGCTCTTTTCTTATTATTCATATTGTTTTCCTATTCAGCCATGATTCCGATGGCACAATATCTGTACCACAGATTGTGTATAATATATATATATATATAAACTACGTTCTCTTCCATCTAAACACTATCCGGTACCAAGGCCATCATGTTTGCACGGTAGGGAAGAAGCAATCCAAAGTACTCATACGCAACCGTTGATGATGAGATTAACTACACCCCAATAAGTAACAGGGTTAGGCCAATCAGCATACAGACATCACGGAACATGCACGAACACCACGGTGCAAACGCTGAAGTTGCCGCGGCTTATACGATGCGTCGTAACTGTAGTCAAACTACAGTTGAGTGAACGGTTGTGTAGTATCACATTGGGAGTGACTATTCCAACCTGAAATGACATACCTGGGTATGCACCGGGTGATTGCGCCTGCTCATCCGACACCACCGTCTCCATTTGTCACACCTGGAAACTCCGAATGGGCTGCCACCATGGAACCGGCCACTTCGTGGTCACTGGTCTAAGCACATCGGAAACATACGTTTTGTGAAGTTACCCACATATGGCCGGCGCGTAGCCTTAAGGATCATAAGCCTGCCTTGTAACCTGAGGACGCGGGTACAAACCTGCGTAGGGACCGGAGACCCCCGCAGTATCTTTTGCTCACGTGCGACCGGTTGTGGTTGCGTGACAGCGAAGCGTCGGTCTTGCGTACTGGCGTATTGCTGATACGTATGCACAGATGAGGTCTAGGCCACAGTGATTCCGAAAAATGTTGCAGGCCACAAAATGCGCGTATGTCATCCTGGTGCGGAACGCATTGAATACGTAACCTCTTCTGGCATTCTGATGAGCGTGTCGTGTTGTGGAAAACATTCACCTACTTATGAGAGAGATGTATGTTGATGGAGCGTAGACCGGTTTTGAGAAATGTGCTGTTTCTGTGTACGTGACTTTCGATGACAATCGTGCGAGTTCCCATGGGAAATTGGGCGTGCGACTAATGCGATAGAAGCAAATTACAGCCTCTCAGCAACTGTGGGCGTTAGGTGTCCGTCTGCACTCACAGTGAAAAGAAAACGCAGAAAAAATGCCATCCATTGGGTAATAGTCACAGTGGAGAAAATCTAGTTGGGGCTCAGATGACACCAGCGTGTCTGAAACGATGATATGCGTAGTCGCGTGCTAGGCAGTGATAAACAAGCAAGTTCCTTAGAATAGCAGATAGCACAGAACAAATTGCGTTGATTTTGGCACGTACTACGTATGTGCAGCCACCGCCTACTGAGGAGGGCCTGGGTTTGTTTGCTAGATATACGGTGGCGCAAGGACCGAGTTGCGCAAAAGTTAACTTGGCACTGGAAAATGTAGTAACTGAGGACCAAACTGGGTACTGTTGCTCCGTCTCTCTATCCAGACTGGAGTCCACGTAACCTACCTTGTGCTAAGCTCAAGACGCTAGGAGACATAGCTCACAGTCAGAAACAGTAGCGCGTCCGCTGTCGTCTCTTAGCTGAACTGCCTGTACAAAGTACGTTTGGTGTTGGTTATCTGCGGAGTAATGGCTGATTATGACGCGGGGAAGTGGAAGCCGCGAAAAAGTTGTATCGCAAACGTCGCCGTATGTTGTTGACAAGGTGTAGACGTCTTGACCCTGAATACTTGGTTAGGGCGTTTGCGTTTTACGTTAAGCCCCCATCTCTCCCATTTTGATTCATTCCGTAGGTCACCGTGGTTGTACCACAGCGAAGCATCAGTCCAGCTGGCTGATGTACTGCTGTTTTCGAGGATGATGATATGGATGAGTGAGAATTGACGACCAGCTGAGGTAGACTGCAAAAAAGACTAACGATCTTAAAACACCAAGATGCCATGCAAGCAAATAACGACTGCCTCATAAAAATGCAAATAAATGACGAATTCTCACTTTGATACCGGTAATATGCATGTGAAACGACTCACATTAAAGCGTCGATTACGGATCCGATGAGAAATGCTTCTCTCAAAGCGAGAGTTATGGTCGGAGATTGAGTTCGCCTTCTCCAACTTGTCCACGAAAAAGCTAACCACATCATTGGAATGATATAATGGTAGGAAATTGACCCGGTCCTCGGGCCAACACAGGAAATCGCCGAAGCGCTCAAGGAACACACCAGGTCTGCGTTGGAACAGATCCCGTGCAAGGTTCATCTTTTCCGCTGCCGTCAAGGGGGCTTCTCCACGTGTTTGGTGACGAAAGTGAGCTTTCTCATTGAGGACTAAGCGTTGTAACATCGTAGTCACTGTGTCCGTATTCTGGTGATCTTGAGAACTACAATAAAAAGGACGTAAATCAACAGGCTGGGGCCTGATAAAATATGAGTTTGAGTAATCGCTGTGTTAAATGTGACAAAAGAGGTCATCATGCAGAGTGAAGTTTAGACAAAGCAAGCCGATGATACCTCAATTAACAGGAACAGGGTAATCAGACGACACTGTTGACACTTGTCTTAGCTAAAGACTGACGGAGGGAATAATGGTACGGTCGTACATATGGCATCGGTTCGGGAACGTCACGAGCTGGGATAGTGAAATAAGTGCGCACTAAAATTATACGGGTTAAGGGGACGCTTTGATTATTAGAGTTGTGATATGTTCGTTGCAAGGGCGAATTAACGACGAAAAGCGACGTGTTGGTGTGGAGAGAATCAGAGCAGTCATAACCATTGACTGATGATTAAAAAAACATGAAACATAGCAGAGGTGATGGAGCCTAACAAAGCTGGATGGGTAAACATAGGGGGCCACTGTTATGCACGCAGGGGAGGCAAGAAGACACAAAAAGATGTCAAGAAAGAAAGTAGGAAATATATGAAGAGAATAGAATAACAGAGGCGATAAGAACTCGCGAAAACAAGCAATTTAACTGGGGCAGTTAAAGAAGCAACAGTAATAAAAACTGGATTAAGCCCCGAATGAAACTCAGCGGAGATCGAAGCAAACGAACGGTTCGTGGGCTGGTGACTACGGTCGCCTGTAAGTGCAAACTCAATATTAGCCCGTCAGAGATGTCACGCTGGTTGCGGTGCAGACGAATGGGGGAACGCTGAGAGAACAAACAGTGGTGCAGTATTAGTAGCGCGCATTTGCGGAATCTGCAGTCTAGCAGTGAACACATCGGCTGTCAATCACGGGTCGGCGATAAGATCCATAGACCCGATCATATCAAACTATGGTGTACAAGGGAACGTGGTTATTCCCGATGGATGCAGTGTTGAGGACGAGCTGGATAGCAGACGTTCGCTCGCTTCGGATGTGGTCCCGGTGATCGAGGCCAACAGCCAGATAAATCAGCATATAACTTGGGATTGCGGGCCGAAACCCCAAGATACAGCGGGTGTTACAAAACCAAGACGAGACGAGAAGCAATCGCACTTGGCGTTTTACACGAAGTGCACTATCCACCTTTGATACACAAATGTGCTATGTTGTTTGGGACATAATCGTCCTGACCTGAATATTGTTGCTAACTGTATTAACCCATTTTCTGCTGGTGTCCTTTTTAAAGGATGCTTTCAAATTGTGATTAAAGGCACTAAATTAATCGAACAGAAAAAAGACAATAATTATCTAGCCAAGCAAGGTTTTTTGAAGGAGTTTTCCTGTTTGGTAATCATCATCATTATACACGTTAGCTAGAGGTGGAAAACACCTCAGTGACTGTGCCGCAAAACATACAAGAAAAAATGAAAACATACGCGACAGATGCATGCCACCTGAGCTACAGGTAACGGATAAGCATCGTTCCGGAAAGCTACCAGCCGGCTACTATGCAGCAAAAAAATTTATTATGCAATCATATTAGGACAAGAAGTGAGATTGTGGGTGGAGGGTGAAGCTAAGAGGGATGGGATGGGACAAAAAGAAAGATCAGAAAAAGTGAGTGAAATTTCACTTGTAGGGCACGGATAGAAGACGAAAGCTGGTAGATGCATGCATTTCGTATTGTCGTCTCAGTACCATTAACAATAACTGATATGCGAAGACATCGGGTGTGACCAGACACGCTTGAGGTGCAAAGTGAATGACAGAAGCTTAACCCTACGTCCATGATAGTCCTAGGATGACAAATAATTGCTAACAAGTAGCGGGGAATCGGGTGGCGTTTTTGAGGTAGTTCGTCGCAGTCCCTTGTCAGTCACACAGGTTGCAACACGTCTGTAAAAGCACCAGGCAGCTGTTTTGACCTTTTGGGTCTCATCCGTAGTATGCGTTCCTCGGCCCCGTGCTGGGTTCCGACTCCACGACTTCCGGATGTCAGCAGTATGTGCCCCTAAGGCATGGGTGACTGCGGCTGAGCTGCTAGAGTGACAGTTGACTACGATATAACGCGGCCCATCCTCCACTGTCATGCCAGTTACAAGCTGTGCAGAGGACATTGGTTGGCCCCAGGAGCTACGGCATTCCGTATAGCGGTGTACGACGAGCATTTATAAGCTATGCGGACAGATTTGTAATTACTAATGAGTAATGGGGAATTGGGGTGAAAAATAAATGTTTTTAAACGCATAGGATTGGTTTCAACCAGCTTATTGAGACAGCATCCGCAAAACGAAAGAAACAGAGATTAGAGTGACGCAACACAACTTTTAACGCTAAACCTATCCCTATCCGGAGATTACGTGTTTGCGTACGGAAGATGCACGGAAGTCAAGCGGGTAGGGGATTTGGCAAATTTCGCACTGAACCCATCTCGGCACATGTTACTTTATTCCGGAAATCAGAGTCCTATCGCTTCTGCCTGCGTAACTCGCTCTGCGAATTGGTATACACAGCGGGAGCTGGCCCCGACAAACGGAACTTCCTTCGTTGGAAGGAACAGGCAAACTTCGGGTTCAGTTGATTATAACGACTTGGGCAGTGTAGTAACTCCCCCGCATAGCAGAGATTATACACTTATAATTTGCCAATTTCTTGCCATATTCGAGTCACATTTCATGCCTAGAGCATAATAGCACAGTAACTCATTTAAAATTGGAGGTAGTTAGCGCAGTTATGGGCTGATACTGTCATTTTTGGGAACGCCGTAAATAAATGATACCGTGACATGTACCTTAGGAATGAGTAAGCTTTTCGTAGCATGATTGAAAATGTGCCAGTATTTTATAAACAATCTTATATATTATGACTTTACTATATCAGTATGACACCTTCTGAAGGTTATTAAGATAGCTTTTATTGACGTCTTTTTATTTATTTACGTACATTTATTATTACGCACTGATATTTTCGGTCATTTAAATTTTTTTCGCAACAGGGGTCTCAAAATGTACTCTATAAGCGATACGATCATCCTGATAGAAGATGGTAGTGTCCTGTAAAGCAGCATTTGCTTTACTCCTCCGGGTGACAGGCAAGTCTGATGGAGATTAAGTTAATGAAGAGATTCAAGGTGCTGAGTTTTCTGATTTGTCAGAGGGAGTTACTCGGTGTGGCTGAGGCTACCATAACATTATTTCATCGAGATCAGCAATAACAGCATAGAGAGTGAACCATCCGAGACAGACAATGGTCTGAATGTGCACCAGATTTCTTATTTAGGATCTTACACCTTATAAGTCATTCTGAGTCTGTTATTGAACACATGCAAATGCAGACAACGGAGTAGTCTTGTTCAAAAATTAAGCATATTTTTAGTACAAATACGGCTGGCTATTTGGTCTATAATCCATTGTCACAAAGGCCCCGTACAAAATGCATCTATCAGCAGAACAGTGAGAAGAAACAGATTTGGTCAAAAAATGACAAATCTGCAAAAGGTAGACAACTTTTCTAACCTTCTCAGTGAAATAGGTGCAACATTCGTCCACATATGAAAAAATCTAAGCGTGAATGAAAGCTTGATATCGCATTATGAGCGCAGTGGCAGAGGTAATGCACCAGAGAGAAGCCTATTAGATTCAGGTGTAAACAATAGGTTATTGCAACCTACTAGGCCATGCTGCCTGTTTGGATCTCTACAAGCATCTCAGGGTAAATACGAGATATTAGGCCTGGGATATTGCACTGTCATGGGCCTAGCGGACAAGCTCAAGAAGGATCGGTTCTCACATTTTTGTAATTTTTTCATAGGCTCGCCACTCATGAAAGCTCTAGGCAACAAAGGCATAAGAGCAACAGGAACAGTGCAAATAAACAGAACAAACAAGTGCTCTATGGATACGGAAGCTCTAACAAAACTAAACAGGGGTGTTTATGCCAGATTGGATGAGAAAGTTGCTTTGTTCTAGAACGATAACTCTGTTGTGACCTTATCAGCAACTCTGTTGGTGGGCGTTAAAAGACGACCGATGTGTCAACCGTCTCTTGCGGATCTCTAGCTTAGTGGCCAAGACAAAAACCGCCCACCAATGTGTTGGGCTCCCCTCAAAGCCCCAAGCTATCCCTACCTGACGAGTCCAAATCTGGACGAAACCAGTCGGTCGTGGAGTGCTGGGAGAGAGCAACTGCGAAACTCGCCACTTTGGATGCGGTCCCAGTGATGGAAATGGCATAGGTTTGCACTGAAACAAACTATGGCCTCAATGGAGAATGCGTGTTGCAATCCAGACACACGGCGGGTACTCCAAGACCCAACAATAGCGGGGATGTACTTGTCAACGAAATCTTATCGCTGTTCACAAAGACGGAGTGATGAGAAGGTTCCAGACTCATGACTAGAGTCAGCAGCAGAACCAATCCACGAGGAAAGCTACCGAAAAAGTTGGCGTCAATTATAGCGGAATTTCAGTGATTTACGTTGGGTCCAGGATCTTCGTGTCCATCCTATTTCGCAAGCTCTCAGGGCATAGAGAGGGCTTATCCCGAGAGGAACAAGTCAGTTTTGACCACGCCGAGATTACATGGCCCAAATCTTCACACTCCGTCACGGCCAATGACAGCTGACGATTGTAGCGATCTTCGACATGGGAACGGCATTTAATTAAGTAGATAAATCTTATTCGTAGAAACGTTTACTAAGGATAGGGTTGCGCCAAACAAGTTTACAAAACATCCTAAAGCAACATTACAATCACACGTCAAGCAAAGTAAAGACTTAGCGCAGAAGTTTCACTTCCTTCGTTGTAACCAGCGGAGTTTGCCAACTTTGCTCAATTTCACTGCTACTCTTCAAATATGAATTCGAAGATGTCGTCCAACGAGCATCAGGTGTCCAGAACTGCAGCGTCGTGTTTCCGTCTGGTGTTACAGTCGCGTCAATGTTATCGCGTCGCTAGGGGACGACCAAAAAGCCGTCCAAAACACCTTGAACCGTTCAGAAAAGCAGGCGTCCAAGTACGGCATATACTTCACCCCAGCCAAATGTAAAACCCGACACAAAAATTGGTACCGCTTGTCCTCACCAGTACTAGTGACACTCTGGAACAAGTTGATTGGCTCTCTCATCTAAATAGATGCATCACGTCTGGAGACGGTCTTGTAAAGGACTTCCCACGACAGATCGCAAAGGTCCGCCTTGCTTTCACCAAGCTGAGACACCTATGGCGTCGTCGCGATGCTAGTCTCAAGCTCGAGGGAAGGAGTACAGCGCGTCCGTTCGTGTCTTTCTGTTGTACGGCCCTGAGAGCTGGCCTGTTCGCTCGAAAGACATTTAACAATAATCAGTTTTGACAACCACTGTTTGTGAAGGATTGTTCGCGTATCGTGCCAACACCACGTAAGCAATACGGAAGCTAGGAGCAAGCAGTCCATGTCTCCAATATGTTATACTCCAACAACTCATGCGTTAGCCCGGCCACGTATTGCGTATACCAGCCTATCCCCTTTCCCACTGAGTGTTATTTGCGCTTCTCGGACGCGATTGGAAGTGCCGCGGCGGACAACTAATGGCATGGAAAATGAGCATGAAGAAGACGACATGATGATTGTCATCAGTAGGTCCAGTCCACTTTACAGGTTGGGGACCGTGCCACACGGTTTCTTACTGGTTGCAAGCGCTGGATATTACGCCTAGCAACAGGCATCAGTGGCGCCAATATTGTGCTACTGTATCGTCCGATATTTAGTGATCAATCGGAAAACATAAAAAACCCAAAATGGCGTGTGGAAAACACAAAAGCAATAGATACTTTTCCTGTATTACAGTCTTCTATCGTTGCCATAGTTTTGATGACACATTGTCTGTATTCAGACTTGCTAATATTATATATATATATATATATATATATATATATATATATATATATATATATATATATATATATAATGTTGAGTTCAGATGTTAGGAAGCGATGGCAAGTGCATATCAAGATGGCGGTTGCTGTATGCGGAGAAACACCGGCTACGAAAGCGACAGGCGCAGATGGAGGATAGCCCATCGACGTCAAGGGCATGGTGCTGTATCACATGCGGTCGCGAGTGCCTGAGCCAAGCCTGCTGGCTGACATAGTAAGCCAAGAGTCAGTCATCCGCGCAGCGCTTGGTATGCTGCTACCGATCCGAAACAATTTGAGAACGCAGGTCAATAATGCAGTTGATGTGGTACCCGTGCCGCATCATCATTGCAGTTGGTCGGTATGTGTGCTTGCGTGTTGACTTGTTTGCATTTCAGGTGTTGGCTATTGATTGTTATCCCCGGAGTCAGCCCGTAGCCTAGAGGTAACGAGCTTGTCTCCTAATCTTGCGGCACGGGTTCGAATCCAAGTAGGGGTGGGCGTCTTCGCGGTATACTCAGCCCGCGTGCGACTGGTGATGGTCGCACAGCAGCGAAGCGCCGTTACGCCGTATAGCTGACACATTATTTTATTATTTATTTAACCCCGGTGGATGCGCTTGATGTGAAGGTTGACAAGGTGCCTCCACTTGGATTACTGACTCCAGAAGACTGCTTATCGTTGGTGGAGGAACTGGGTGCATGGTCCACGAGGACCATACAAGGCGCAAAGAATGTCTCCACCCTGGTTGAAACAGACTACGGCCTTGTGTACGCAAGCCAATAACGGCCCTTCTGTAGGCGCAGGCGTTCTATGGCTGTCCTACAGAGTGCCAGTGACAGTCAAATCCGAAATTGGATGCTGCCAAACATATACTAGGTTTATAAAGAATTAGTTGCGGCTTTTAACTTCGGATTTGCAATGCACATATCGCGGTTCAAGCGTAATATTTTTTAAAGAAATAAAGTTTGTTTAAATTGACACAAAGTTACCAACGGGAAACAATTTATTTAGCTCGAATGAATGAAATTCCGAAGTTCTGGTGTTGATGAACTGGCAAATTGCAATTTCAGCATACCCTTGGGTTCTAAGACATTTCTCCCAGAGGACGTTACTCAGGTGCTTAAAAAATGCTGATCAGTAGGCGAGAGGTCAGAGGACTATGGTGGAGAGGCAAAGTTTTAAAAGTCCTGCTCGCTCAGCTTCTGGAGGGTTGATTGTGCGACGTCTGCCGGCTGTTATAGTGGCGAAGATTTTGCCGCTTTCAGCTGATCGGTGCCGAGTAGATGTTTCGAAATTTCCGGTGTGTTTCGAACTTAGTGACAATACTTTCCCGCTGTAATAGCTGTTCACGTTCAGAAAGGCGTGAACGGTCAGACTAGCAATAGATCACCAAATCATCACTATAAGCATTTCTGGGATGAGTTGTGGAACTTGATCGTGGTCAATCCACTTTTCATCGCATGTCACATTCCGGTAGAGAAACTGGTTGTTTTCATTGCGCAGAACAAGGATAGATGACAATACACAGGAAGACCTCCTTGATGTCTATTCAAATTGTGCGGCACCCACTTATCAAGATTTGTCGGCATTCCAAGCTTCCATATATGCTTGAAAACTGTCATATGCGATACTTCCAAGACAGAGGCAAGATCCCGAACAGTTTCATGCGGATCCGACTCAACTAAAGCTTTTAACAGATCGTTGTTCACCTTCAATGGCTGCCTCAAATGCTCATCATCTTTACTAAATCTTTTAAACAAATATTGTTCAGTTAGGTTATTATTGGCTCCAGGAACAAGTGCAGTGCCGATGTCACGAGCTGTTTCTGCTGCATTTTGATCAAGTCTAAATTAGAGCAAGAAATTTGGGAGAATTTGTTTGCTATCCATGTTACATTAAACGTTCCGTAAAATTGGAAGAACGGAATTCCCGGCTAAACTGATGGACAGAGCAAAAAACGCACTTCACAATGATGTGTAGAGTCAAGGCAACTTATTAAAACTTTGTCTAGAAAAAGATGTAAAAGTTAGGTATAAAATACCGTAAAAATTGATAAGAACCTTACATATATATGTATGGGAGCAAAGCGAGAAATACGTTGGCGGGTATGTAAATTGGCGCATAAACACGCGAACTTACGCATCATCACTGTTGGCAGGTGCATCTGAGGAAGTTGCCTGAACACGTTGATGTTCAGGGTTAGGTACCTCGCCGTTCTCCATTCGCACAACTAAATAGTCGCTTACTGTCATTCGTGGAACCGTTGCTCCTAAGGAGAAAAAAACAATAATCAGAAAATTAGGTCCACTATCTGAAAGCTGCACTCAGCACTGAAGTTGCGTTAAAAGTGTTCACTCAAAATCATTGTAGACTTGGATAGCAAGTTGTCGGAAGGGAAAGTTATGGATAGTGGGGATCTGGAACAGCGGGGATTGGAACATGTCTCAGAGTGCGCATGTTATTAACCAACCTACATCGAAGCACCACAGTTGGTGAGTCAGTCGTTGCAAGTGGATCGACCTAGTACATAGAGAACGTGAGCGACCAGAGAAAGAAGCAGCAACGCTTAATACAGTCAAGACAATGCGATTACCACCAAAAATGGTTAATAACTGGACCAGGACAGGCTTAATAGCGAAGTTCAATACATCGGCTACATAAGGCATTCCAATAGGGAGACAAATCTAAAGGCAACGCATTCCCGTGGGCGAGGCAGAGCAAATCGATCGAATTGATACCTTACGACTGGAGCAGAAATTAAGGGTAGAACGCGGACTCCACAGTGGCAGTGTGGTATGTGGACTCGGGTGCATAGATGTAGCGCGTATTGATTCGTATGCCTCAGAAACCACTTTTCAAGCAGTTGACACAGGGACATCTTGCCAGGTGATCTCGCGCTTGAATGAGAAGTTGATGCATGTCTAGAAGAAACTTTTATACAGCAATAGCGACAACGCGCAGTCGGGTATTGGTGAAACGAATAAGTGCATCAACTCCAAACAGGGCGCGTCACATTTATACGGTCACATTATCACAGGACACCGTAAGAAGATTGGGAAGAAATTACACAACGCGTACTCGGATGAATGTACCAGGAAAATGAGGTCAGTTCATGCAGTGACGTACTTGGAGAACATTAGTTCATCGGCGGCGGTATTGATAAGGCCGTTAGTTACGATACGATGCTCGGTGTGATCAGATTGAGCTCACTGACGAAGCAACAACCGGGCCTCCCAATGCACCAAAGCAAGATGATTGTAACCCCGGAACCGAGAGAGAAACAACACCAGTTGTGGCGAGAATCCCATTAGAAGCAATTGAAGTGTAATTCGATAAGTCATTACGATTGGAAATCGGATGGAATGGCTCCAATCGTGAAGATAGCGATCGTTTTCAACATATCACCCCCTGATCGATGTCAGCTTTGGTCAGAGTAACTGCGTACGGACGGTAATCTGTTAGGTATTTGAATCGTTAACGTAATACGATTCATAGCTCTGGTTGGGGCGTCGCAACAATAAAACAGAAGTAGCTCGGTATGGTCAGTGTCAATGAAAAGTATGCCAAGGTAGTCAGCAATATCCGGAACGCTGGGTTAAAGAGAGGCGCAATGCAGGCGGACAGCGTACACCAATGCGTGGAGATTCGGACAAGCAAGGTTTGTAGGTTCCAGGTGGTCACGTGTTTTACAAAAGTACATTACGGGACTACCATAGACCATGGTAAGTTAGTAGTTGAACAGACCAGGAAAGCTAAAGAGTGCACATAGCGGCAGTAAAAGTCAGTCGTAGAACTGAGTTGATGTGAGAGGTTAAAACGCTAATTCGGATACCGCGCTGCAAGTGTGACCATAGATAGGCAGAAAGCTTTGGACTACGGATGAGACACACATCGTTAAGAAAGAAAGGCATCGGTAGTACGCCGGTACGCAGTACCGACGCTTCGTTGCCGCGCAAGCACCACCGGTCGCACGTGGGCTAAGGATCCTGCAAGGGCTGCCCTGTCCCTATGAAGGATCGAATCCGAGCCGTCAGATTACAAGCTCGTTACTACTAGACCACGGGCAGGTCAAGCAAAACCACATTTCCCTTAGGCCAACTCTGCTGAACAGGCTGACGCGTAGCATTGTTCTGGGATGTGCAAACTCACCACTAATTTCCACAAACACGGAAAAACCCCTCGAAATGATTGACCACTTGGCCTATGAAGATAGCTGTACAACAGAAGAGGTTACTGCATACATTGCTGAGGCAGGGGTGAGACAAGTTCACTGGTCAGGAGAGTAGTCTAGTGCTCTTCAGTGCGATTATTGTACCACTGTACACATAAATGAGAACCGATGTGCACTGCAGACATTAGGAGACCGATCCTTCTTGACCAACGGTGCCGACGCATTAGTAAGTAAGCTGATTTGAGAGCTGCAGTCTGTAATCTGCCATTTGGCATCCAACCGCCTGGCACCTACGATATCCACGTCACGCGCCCCGCATGTCTGTAAGCCAGCTGCCTGGGCGACCAATGTATATCGACGCTGTGCCTAGTTGAGTGAAACAGCGAGTGACCAGGCAGTGACACGGCTGAGAAGAGTTGGGGCTTGTCATATCACTGGTTGGCCACATGAGCGGTGTTTTATGTGACAGGGTTTGATACAACTACTCATTCTCTTATGTCTGACTACTCTACCCGACGCAGGAGTACTTGCTCGCAATCGTTATCGTTAGCAAGCTGGCGAAGTGAGTCAAGGTTCATCAGGACCACCATCCTACGGTGAGCGAGGCACAGTTAAATAATTTGAAGCACGCCAACAGTAATAGTGGACCATGAGTCTAGTAGCAAGAAAGGAACAGGCAAATCAGACTGCAAGGGGACCAGCTATGGACCGAACTAACGGTCTTACAGTGAACACCCGGTATAGGCAGATGGATCCGTGCCAAGAAAAGACGTAGTAGCAGCGCTCGATGAAGACTACGAAAGACAGCGTCTAGCGCAACACTGTGGAAGACACTTGCGAATGGCTGGCGGCGGAGGTGGTTAAACTTAGCGTACAATTTGGATGGTTGCTGTCTCAAAAAACCAATCTTCGTACCCCTTGTGAGCCCCCAAAATAAGTGCACTACACTGTTTCATTGATGCTGGTGGAACCGGTGGTGCTGTCCGAGCTAACTATTGCCTGCAAATGCGAGCAAAATAATGAGAAAACAAGGGTTGCAAAATGATGATACTTCGCGCTATGTGATCCCCTGCAAATTGGAAACATACAAATGTACTCTAAAAGTGACAAAATCAAATAGAATAAATAAAAATAATACGTATATTTCTCTTGATGAGAGAAACTGCGTCTATAGCTGCATAGATCAATTTACACAGAAGAATCCATGCTCTTGCATGGGTAACATGCATATGTGGAGTGTTGGGATATGCGTTTCATGTATTAACATTCTGGCGGATGGCTGAAGCCAAAGTCTAGTTATGAAAATATTGGTGTTTATACCATTTTGGCCCCCGCTTGGAATAGTTCATCGAGATTTTTCCCATGTGAATATAGAGATCATGGTAGTTAGACCAAGGTAATTGGCGAGTCTGGTACTAAACGTTGCCATATTGTCACATGACCTGAATGTTATTGGTAATTTATTCCACAGATAGCTATATCTGACCGGGAAGAAATTAGAGCGGATGGTCGTGCTCGCCTTCGGTATATTCAGTGTAAAACCTTTGTTGCGAGGCGCTCAAGTTGAGAAATGTTGTATTTTGTGTGTAGGCAGGTTGGAGTAGGTCGTTTTGTGTAACATGTTGAAAAGCAGCAACAAGTTGTGCTTCAATCGTCGAATCCAAAGTGGTTCGAGATGAAATACATTGCAAAGTTCTCGATAACTCATTGCAGTGTTTACCAATCAGATGTCTAGTAAATGACCTCTGCAAGTGCTCCACAGCAATTCAGTCACTCTCATATTGCCGTATATTATACTGCAGTATTCGAGGATGGGGCGAGTGAGTAGCTCGAAAAGCTCAAGTCTAGCACGAGTTGTGTGTATTCTGTTTGATATATTAAACAAAGACTGTCTGGCACGTGCTACCTTGTATTGGGTCTGTTCGGAAAATTTGAAGGTAGACGAGTACCTAATTCCAAGATTTCGCATGGACAACTGTGTAGAGACGCGTTCATTGTTTAGGGTGATGGATCCTTCGGGGATGCAGCAGCCGTAAGACATGATGCTTTATTTCTTAGCCGAGAGGTTCATCACCCATTTGCAGCACCATGACTCAAGGCAATGTAAGTCATCTTGAATGAGCAGTAGTGTCCTACGAAGCTCGTCATGCCGACGCTTAGAAATGGTTTTGATATCGTCAGCAAATAAAAATGATGTACCACATTTGACAGATGTGGTGACGACGTTGATGTAGAGCAAAACAGTGATGGACCGAGCAAGCTCCCTTGAATGATTCCACTGGTGATTGAGCGTGTGGAAGTGCGATACACACCCAAAGTGACTACCTGATGACGACGACTCAAGATTGACGATAGCCAACCTAGAAATGGGTCCCGGATCCCAAAATTCACCAACCTTTGCAGCAGTCGCTTGTGCAGTACTCGGTCGAACGCTCGGTGTATGTCCAGAAACAAGATTACTACTGCACAGCCGGAATCGATTGATTCTGAAATGTGGTTAAGGTAATGCAGTTGACAAGTGGTGCGTGATCACTTATTGAGAAAATCATGCAGCGAATTATTGATCATGCCAATAGAATCAACAAAGTTCCGCGTCTCCATTCTGACTAGCTCTTCAAATAGCAGAGCGATTATCGGAGTGTAGTGGATTGGTCGGTAGTTATCAATCGTTTGTTTGGGACCTCCTTTATGCCGAGGCATAATAAACGACGTTTTCCATTGATCTGGAAAGTGGCCAAATTCTAGCGATAGAGTGAACATGCTAATCAGGAGCAATGGTATAGCAGGCCCACTTAGTTTAATGATGGTTGGTGAAATGCCATCAGATCCCAGCTTGGAGGATGGCGTGATTGATTTCATAACTTGATGGATAGCGTTGAGCGAGATATTGACTCTGCTTAAGTGGTTTGCTACTGTGAGCTCTGTGCACACAGGCACCGGGTCAGCTTTGCGACTCATGGTAGTGGCAAAAAATCACTGAATGCTTCACAGATTTCAGCTGGGTCATGGAGTAAGTGACCCTCACCATCAACAACTTCGGTAATCAGAGAAGAGCGGTCACTGGTTCTACGATGCAGTGTTGTGAAAAGCTTCTTAGCTTTACGGCTTGTTCCTAGGGCTACATGTTATTCATTTTTTCGTCGTGTTAGTTGCGCGTGTTTGACTCTGTGGTAAATTCATGCATTTGCAAGACAAGTGAAAAGTCACAGGTTCCTCTGTATCTTGTAGCTAACATTCTGGTTTTCTTGCTGATTAAGTGCACGAAGGAATCTTTGGAGACATGGGGGGTATGAATACATTGTGGAGCAAGGAGGGTTATAGCGTGATGGATTTGTTTATAGAATTGCTCCACAGCAATGTACACACTGGTAGAGAGGAAAAATACATCTCAGTCGGAGAAACGAATAAGCTGCTGAAAGCATTCTCAGTTTAGGTGTGGATGTTTGTGAGTAGTGTAATGTTTGTAGAAAGTAGAAGTCACGATTAAATCTCACACAATAATCTGCCTCGACGGGGAATCGAACCCCGGTCCCACGAATTTTCGGTCCCCTGCTCTACCACTGAGCTGCAGATTAAGTGCGCAATTTAGTACATGACTTCTGCTTGGTGCGCGACGTATTGCCAATGAGCTCCCAGTATCTGTCCTGGTGTTGCAGATTGGCTCACTCACTCATTCCCAGTTTATTCTATGGGTTTCAACCGGCATTGCAGAGGCGAGTTTAGCGACCAATTTAATCTGGAAGCTGAGTCAGATCATGTTATGGTTGCTGAAAGGAAGATTGTTTAAGATCTCGGTCTGTGGATTGAGTATCTCTAATGTGTATTAAGTTCAGTACATTGGCGGACCTGGTTGGGCTGGTAACCCACTGTGTCCAGCCCCCAGATCTGATGGAAGAAAGAAAAGAGGCGTGCAAGATAGACGACGCGTGAGATGACCAGCGTATGTTCGGTAGGCTGAAATCGCCAGCAATAATCTTCTGGCTGTGCGGCAACTCTGATGTGAAGTCAAATGCAGAAGTGGTGTTGGTGATACTTACGTTAGACGCATTCGGTGGATGTAGATACATGCAAACAGGGTGTAAGATGAGACACCCGCAACTGACAGGCAAATAGATTCAGGGATATTTTCTAATTGTGAGTGGACTATAGGTTTAGCTGTAAATGTTTTACGTAGGTATATAATACACTCTCCACCTTTTCTGTCGCAGCGATCTTTTCGAAATAGGTGGTAGTTTGGAATCATCAGAGTCGAGTCAAGTGTACCTGAAGAACACTAGGTTTCAGTGATGAGGATCGCTTGTGGGTTATTGAACTGTGCAAGTGTTTATAAAATGAAGTTTGAATCTGATAAGTCTTTCATCCCAACAGTTCACAAACTACATAGCAGAGCCTAGTCCGGAAAAGCGCCGGAGGCGTTTCGCCCCATTGGGGCTCGTCAGTGGCGCGCATTCCCTCGGTCCTCTAAGGAGGATGGAACCCATGACCGCTAGAAGCAGATGCCAACTAGCCAGCAGCTTAAGCCACTGAGCCATGGGGGACGTTGGCTGGGCTACATAATTTGCAAACTAGCTGGGATATAGCACAGTGACAGTGGTAGATAGGTGGTGCTATATCCCAGCTAGTTTGCAAATTATGTAGCCAAGCCAACGTCCCCATGGCTCAGTGGCTTAAGCTGCTGGCTAGTTTGCATCTGCTTCTAGCGGTCATGGGTTCCATCCTCCTTAGAGGACCGAGGGAATGCGCGCCACTGACGAGCCCCAATAGAGCGAAACGCGTCTGGCGCTTTTCCGGACTAGGCTCTGCTATGTAGCTTGTGAACTGTTGGGATGAAAGCCTTATCAGATTTACAACTAAAATCCTACTACTAATGAGTACTATAAAATGAAGTTTGTTGATACTGATTAGAAGCAGCGAGTAGAGCATACTCTGTGTGGCTGCATCAATTGTCGATCTTGGACATTAACGTATTAATTATCGTTCCGCTCTTCATATTTCGCCTCTGCAGTGTTTGTCTAGAAGCTTCTTAAATTCGGTCACTGAATTCGCCTCTATTACCGGCTGCGGTAGGTTGTTCCAGGTATTTACCACTCTACGTTCGAAACAGAGTTGGTGAGCTACCCGCTTCAACTGCGGTACGATAAGTTTGTACCGGTGTCCTCGCGTGCTGCTTGGTGTGCGCAGATGAAGCAGTTGTCTCAACATGGGGTAATCACTCAGATGTAATATCCGGTGCGTCATGATGAGGTCAACCCTCAGCCGACATGAATCTGAATAACTGAAAATGTACTAAGTACTGGGGAATGGTCGCTGTCTGTTGTGTGATCGTCTGAAGTTTTGTGTTCGAGCAGGCTGCACATTGCGAGTATGGTGGGCCCGAGTTAGCCATTATAACGTTTTTGATAAGGGTAGCATGTCATGTGTGGATATCGACAGTTGGGGGCACGACGGGAACCGAGGCATCATGCTTAGGTTGCCGTTGGTTTGACAATGGATTTGCTTTATCATCTGGACAAATTGGAAGAGTGGGATCAATGTGTTGACCTCCGCCGGATGTATCCGAGATGGAAATAGGTGCGAGTCCATTCCCGTAGCCACTAAAAATGGTTATTGGAAGAAGCCGCTTGAGATGTTGAAGGAACATGGAAGAGAGCGGGTGGTAACATAGTCCGGTTGGTCGATGTCCTTCCATTATCTGAGCACTTCCAGTGACGGTTGTGGAGTGTAGGATGAGAACTAGGCGTAACCAAGAGACAGTTGTTATTGGTCTTATTCAACATGGAAGGTTGTTTGCCCGGGTGGTTGTAGGTTGGTCGATAGGGAATTTTGGGTGCCACCGAGCATTTAGTATCCATACGTTTCTTACAGACACAGGAGAAATCGTCCTTGGACGACAGTGGACTATGAATTACATCAAAATGTCTATCCTTGGATGTCTTGTTGGTTTGGACCGGGTTGTGATATATTCAACGATTTGTCATTATTACACTGTTCCAAGCAGTTAGACATTCCTTCAATCATTGTGCATGAGGAGTTCCATATAAGCGGAGTGTTGTTGTCAAGAATAGGAGAACCCGCTTTAAGTGTTCCTTGTGTAGACGGTGTTTCAGTGGAGCAAGGAAAGATGGCTTTGGAGCTAGTTGACAACGTAGTTAGATTATCGATGTCTAAATCAATGCATCCAGTATCCACCTTGGATGCGCTCGTGTTTTGGAGATTCGGCTTAAATTTCTCGAAGAGCCTAGTTATATTTTTCCGGTGTTTGCGGCACAGTACCAAGTTCGAAAATTTGTAGGGGTGTCCTCTGGTTTACTCAAAATGCCGTTAAATTGGGTGCACTGGCCAAGGAAGGGTCAAAAATGGAGGAATCGCGGCGAGACTTCCTCGCACAAAAATTTGAAAATGATTGGACAACAACGTTTCGGTGTCTTCTTTTCCAAACGTTGGCATTTGCAGTCAACGTTAGACATGTTACAAGCTTTCAGTGTCGTTAGTTTTACTTTATCCAGACAGCCTGTTCGTAACCTTAAAAACAATCACATTTTTGCTCTACACATCCGTTCGTGCAGTTCAGAGGCAATTAACTGCCTTGTTTTTTCCCATTAGGATAGGATCAGTCTTCTCCAATGGGTTATTGATGTAGTCAAGCGTAATCAAGTGATTTTTGAGGGGTTCAAAGAGTGTCAGCGTTTTACTTCTCTCATCAAGTTGTGATTCTAAAGCAAGCAATTTATCGTTTAGTTCTGCGATGAGTATAGTTTTTACCGAGGAACAGGTTCGCTTTTCTTTTGGGGCCTCACATTTTATTCGCTTTACTGGTGGCGTGGAAAGTACAATACGCTTAGCTTGCGGAATACAGGCGAGACTTCAGTGAGGCATTGCGATCTAAGCTCGTCGAGGTACAGACTCAAGCGACAAGGTTATATGATGATGCAACAAAAACCAACCTTGTATGATTTCTCGTAGTTGGAGTTTGATAGGTGGGTTAAACTCCACGGTTACCTTTGTCGATAATAGCCACAATTCAAAAAATGTGTCCAGACGTGCAACAAATCCAAGATGGCGGGACGCAGACGGCAGTTGGGCTAAACAATGAGAACTCCGAAATTAGCCAGAGAACACACACCAAATGTATACAGATTGAATAATACACCAAAAGAAAAATACTGGTGCACAATTCACATAGAAAAACCACGCGTAACCGAGTAATCCGGAAGAAAAACGGGAATCCAGCACGGTAATCCAAAAATCGGCGGCGTCAGTTAGTACATCCTGTTAAACCCGTCTGAGTAAATGAGTTGCTTCTCACTTCCCCGTCAGTAAAATGCAGAGTATGTGAGTTCACAGAATCAGCCTTTTAATGTTAACGCATGAATACGGGGGGGGGGGGGGGAAGCGCTGCAAAATAATCCGCTTCCGATAAATGAACGAGCGATTTGAAAGTTAGGCACCTAAGCACTAGTTCAGTTCAGTTCGGTTGAACAACTATGGTCCGAGCACCGAAGTGGAGTGGATGCAGTTGCCAAGACTCACATCGCAAGAATAATAATAAATAACAACTGCAAGATGGTGGGATTAATTGCAAATAGAATGTATAGGAAAGAAGCAAGAAGGTGCGTTAAAATAATTACAATGGGACGAAAATTAAAAACCAGATACAAGATGCCGAATGCAGGAACGCCATTGACTTCGTGGCTGCCCCATGTATGATACAGTCTCCAAACATTGGTGTGGACCAGTCAGAGGCTCCATCAACCAAGACGGCAACAGTCTGTCCAAGTGTCCCAGTCAATTTCTTCATGCCTCTGTGCCACATCATGGAATAGTCACCTCACGATTTCGACCAACTTGGTGCAGCCTTGGCGTATAATACACGCTGAGGAAGCCGATCAACAAGCATATAGAGGACAAGACCAAGCTAACGTAGGCGGCTAAGATGCAGCAAACACTCGAATGAGGCACTAGAATGATTCATACCAAAAACCAACTGGCGGACGTCATCATTGCTCACCCGGTGTTCCCACCATACGTGAATGATATTCCGCAAGCACCGGTGGTCAAACACGGCCAAGTGAACTGACCAGATCTTTGGTCTATACAGTAACACCGGCCTTACCGCAGCGTTATACACCCTACCTTTCACTGATAGGCTAGTATTTCGCCGTCTCCATAAATGGTGGAGCTTCTGTAATGCCACATGCGCCTTGCTGATACGCGAAATAACCAACTTAATGATGTAATCACCAAAAGAGACACAGCTACCAAGGAAAGCGGACCGATCCATCCCTTCCAGTGTGGCTGTCCGGTGATAGCCAGAAGCGGGGGGTGTCGTTCCAGTCCTGCATCAGTACTTTGCACCTTGAAGATGTAAAGCACATGTCGAAGCTTGCAGCGATACGCGTCAGTTCATCCTGTAGTGTTTGTACAGCCACTGGGTCAGACACAAGAAGACCTATGTCGTCCGCATACTCCAAGTTTGAGTCCATCACCTGGCAGGACATCCACTCCAGAATCGTCTGGAAGAATCGAGTCATTCTTGATCGTTTCGATCACAAAGATGAAGATGGAATAAGGTATAGGACAACCCTGGCGAACCCCACTTGTCGTAGGGAACCCGTTAGAAAATTTCCCGTAGAACATTAAATGGCCTCGTGAGTTAAAGTAGAGACCAAACAATGGAAAAGAATTTAGCTGACACGCCCTTTAGGAATTGACAGGGCCATGAGCTGGCGCGGTCAACAGAGTCGAAGGCGGCTTCCAAGTCAATGACAACCATGATTGTCGGTAGCCTGTAAGCATATCCGCCGTAAAATTGAACGAAGAGTGTGTGATTGATACAACTGCGATCAGGGTGGAAGTCAGTGATTCGGTTCTCACGGGGACCAGTCGTCGGAGAATGATACCCGTGAGCAATTTGGAGGCAACGGAAACTGATCTAATGCCTCGACGATTTTTGCACAAGTACGCTGAACCTTCTGGAAGATAGGCACGACAGCTGATAATGTTCCAAATCGTGTTAAATAGAGAAGCGAGTCTCCTCAACAAATAGTCACCTCCATCTTCAGCAAAGATGGAGAAAGGTAGTCAGGTCCAGGAGCCTTGTTTCTTTTCAACATGGGAAGCTCATGTCGAATCTCCTCCAAAAATGGAGGTATGGCATCTACTTCCTACATCTGCTAAGGGGATTCGGCGAACCACAGTATTGCAGCAAGCCTGCTGAACTGCTCGTCAAAATGTTCCGCCAACCGCCTAGTCGACGAGGCTGAGAAAAATTGACCATTATTCTGCAGCCTAGATTATCTAGGACAAACGCCGCCAGATTGCGTATGTCAATCGTGAAGCGACCGTCAGGAGGTGGTGACGTAAAGTAGTAGCAGTTTCCTTCAATGGCTTCCGGACACTGATAACCGCACCAGCTTCATGCTTGACTCATCAGAGAAACAAAAATGACTAGTAAATCACGCAACAGGTGATGTCAAAGGGTTCCACAGATCACACTGAAGAAAACTAACCTTGGATCACCGAAACCGACAAGATGAATTGCCGGGATCTTCAGAACCCTCCTGTATAGAACCATAGCCAAAAGAGCACATCACAGTGTACTCAATAACAGGCGAGCAACATCCTTAAAAGCAAAAGAAGAATTGAGCACTACGCAAATTTTTTTTACAAATGTAGGCAGTATTTACAGAAGCACGAAGCAGTACAGTGGTTAATCATGATCCGCCTCGCAAGGGCCAGGGCAATCGGCGAGAAGATGATCTTGAGATTCGTACTGCACGCTACACCAAAAGCAAAATGAATGCTTCCGACGCAGGTAGCGCACGATTTTCTCTAGTGTTTCTTCCACCTGAAGGAATAGTATGGAAATAATGGGAATGCTGAAAAGTGGACTGGTTTGTAAAGGAGGAGTATTTCTAATGGAAACAGCTAAAGTGATACCACTCTATCTGCTGCGTCGTGGTAAACAAAGCAACTACATTTTAGTAAAATATCCATGAACAAAGTTGAGGTTTAATGGGAACACGGATTTAGAAACAATGGGTGTGTACTAGGGGAAATGCAACAGGGACATATTACTGCTTATGTGGTTAGAAACACATCGCGATAGATTTTAACGTTATGTTAGGTTTATGTTTTTTTCAGTCCGTAATGTTTAATCTCTTAACGTTCTTGTATTGCGGCACATTAACCGAGATGTGTTTGGCTAATGCTCACTGATGATGATGATGATGAGTTAGATCAGGTGTAGCCCAGAACTAATGTTATATGTGCTTGGAGCTAACGCGGCCGATTGAAAATCATATATGCATGCATTCAAAAAAGTGTGTGTAACTTGGAACCGGTTGGCTAAGCTAGGTTTGACGTGAAGTCAACATAACCCACGACAAGAGTACTAACTATCGATGCTTTCCAGCAAACAATTACGGCTAAACCAATGGGGAATTCAATTCAGTTCAGATTGTCGATTATTAACCGTGTTCCTTGTCCACCGGGTGAGATTTGGGAGTAAAGCTGCTTCTAGATTAACGAATCCTCGTCGTGAGATGTGCCGACGAGAATGCTCTTATATGTGCTCATAAATTTGTCAAGCGCTGCTGGACGGATTAGCCCTGGTAATCTAACGTTTCGGGTTGTACTTCGCACTTCGAAATGCAAAGCTTTCCATCACGAATGATAAGAACAATCGTGTGTACTGACGCTTGGAATAATTCAGCCAGAAGTCGGTCAAAAATGCAACAAGCTGTATCAGCGCCTATAGAACAGAAGATGAAGTGGCAGATGACATGACAATATCTCGATGCACTTCTGCGTAACTTCGCTACCGGCGCGATATCAATCTCGCCTCGAAAGATAGAGTCTACAATGCAACGTTGGCTTCAACACTCTTGTATTTGTGAAACATGACCCATCAGATCGATAGACATAACGAGGCTAGTTACATTCGATCAAAGATGTTTTCTTAGCTTAGATCATGTTTGATGGGCACAAGGCGTGAGCAATGAGCATCTTTGGTGTCTTGTTTGTGGCGCAGGAAGCGCGAGTTAAGCCCTCAACAACATTAGTTAACACACTAAACTCTAATGGCACGCCAGCTCACTGACTCCCACGAGATGAAATGTTTGCGCGACCAGAATCTGCCTGGAAAAGATGGATAGACAGACCGATGACATGGTCAAGAGAAAGGCTCTCACTACCAAACTGGCTTGAGTTGGTGTATATCGACCGCCAGATTCGGGTCCATTTGTTTGGAGACACTAGTTGACATTGGCAGGAGCCGATCTCGATCGTGTTTGTGCTGTGAGCTGCTGTATTCCTCCCCCTTACAAATAACCTACACCTCCAACCACGATCTCACTACCGACATATAGTAAAATTCGGAAAACGATACGACGCTTCGTTATCAGTTTTTGTTGTTAAAACCATCCGGATGCTGTGAGTTGCGGCACAATAGTCGGTTTTCCGCACCAATGGTTAACCTATGGAATGACGATGATAACGGTATGGCTAGTGTAACCAAGTGCGGTGGACCCAGGTATCGTGATTCACGCAGCTAAATGATAAGTATAACAGCTATATATATATATATATATATATATATATATATATATATATATTTAATGGCCATGTGAAATTGTTGAGTCAATCAGAGAACGAATGCAGGAGAGTTACTGACTTCGTGACCGCACCATATTCAACCGCTGATCCGGTCGGTCGCAATGGCCGCACTTCGGAAAGCAATAAGAATCAACCGAACTCATTTCAGTAAGCTTCTTCATGCTTTATTGACGTGCTTGTAATTGGTTACCTGGAGGTCACGCCCAAATGGGCCACAGTATTGGCACATGATAGATAGAGACATATACGGCTTGATGGCACGTGAAGCGCATGACCCCGCTAGCGAGGAAAATTCGAGTAAGAGGTCGGAAAAGGGCCCTAGTGAAGAACGTAAATAAACTAAGTGAAGATTGAGAATTTAGAAACACAACTCTTCAACATCACACAAACAAGCGAGTATTGTGCAAAAACAAAATGGCGACGCCGACTTAGCTTCCTTGAAGTGTTCACCTGCTCCACGTCTTAACTAGTCTGGCCCCGAAGTTAACGCAGCCTCAGACGAGATTGAAACAATCGCACAACAAGGAGGTTCACGGTGGGTGCATGTTAGCGAATTGAGGAGGTAGAACGAATTGGATCGTGGGAACTACCTCGCGCAGTGAGCACCCATGTAGGTCGGAAAGACTCTGCGCAAAGATGGAAGTTGCGAACACTTTGAAAGAGTGTAGTGCGCCAAGGGTGAGTTCCAATGCACCAGGAGCAAGCAGTATGGCAGAAGCGGACAAATTAAAGGGAAACGCACAAAGTATGGATCACACAAACTGTTTAACATAAGACAGACACCCGGTGAAAACAGATAGACGTGCAACCGATTAAAACGCGAAAGCAGCTCGTGATGAAGGCTGTGGACAAGAGCGAACCCCGCGAGATCCAGGAAGACAGTACTGACAAAACTCAGAAGCAACGTGGATGCTCATTAGCTCAACAACAGGCTTTCCGCACTACAATGGCTTCTACAAAGTGTAATTTTTCCGTTACCGTTCTACTTACATATGTAGCAGGTTGTTCCGTAGCTGTCAAGGAACTCGGTGCGAGCGCTAGTGCTGGAAAGCTGTCAGTGACGTAGAGAAAATAATCAGAGCATGACCGAGAAAGACTGTCTCCAGTCAAAAAAGCAGTGACTTCGAAACAAACGCCTAAACAGTGTACTAACCTATGATAGTAATTCTGGCTTCTGGAATCGCTCATAGAAGCCACCTTTGGCATCCGCACTACAGCTGGTAGGAGTTTAAACAGAAGCAACAGTCACTTCGAATTCGGTTGTTCCGCATTGACTCCGATGGGGTTGTTTAGTGAGGTGCGGCCGGGGAGAGCAACATCTGCGCGCATGCTTAGAGAGAGTCCGAATTAGTAAATGCGACGATCTATGGACGCGGCATCACAGGAGACACTAAGTGCGCAGGACCCGTCACAGAACCGGAATCCGGTAAGCACAAATGAATTACGACTCAGCCGTCTTGAGTTTGCGTTTTGAAGACGCAACACATATGGACTCCGAGAAACTATGAATTAAGGATAAGGATAAGGTGTTGACTAACTGGGCAGTGCATGAAGTGTTTGATATGCAAAAGATAACATCGCTTTCGTGTTAGGGTATTCTGAAAAATAATAAAACAGGAGAAAAAACGGGAGCGACAGAGTTCTGCAGGCAGATGGTAGACAAGGCTGCTCATTCCGAGGGAAGGGGGTTCTTTTATGAGGCACACGCCTATATTCACTGACTAGACAATTTGACCCCCAAGATGGTATGAAGCAAGTCAAGAGTCCAGGTGGGGTCTGCATAAGGTCCACCACATGCAACGCGTAAGGTTTCGGCACTACATGTGTACGATATTTGACCGTATTCGATCATATAGCGGCGGTTAAGACCAACCGTTAACTGGTTTTTGTGGGTCTGCATCTTTGACTAAGGAGTACCTGGCATGACACTGGGGATAACAAACCAATGATAACAGATATGTTCTCGAATCATCATATACAATTCGTAATGCCGGTGTTTTATGTCAATTGTGATGGGCTTAAAACCCGCATTGTTTTCTTTAATGGATAACTTTGTGTAGATAAGGCCATCGAGATTTTCCAAACCTTTCGGATGAGGTTGATAGCATGGAGTTTGTGTAACCTCAAACTGTGGATTCATCTGTGTATTACACCAAACTCTGAATGAGGATAGAAAGAGGTAACCAGTGCGGCTCAGTGAATGACACAGACAGACGTAGCATTGCGCCACGTTAGGACCAAGTCTAGTTAGTCAAATCAGTGGTTGGAGAGATCCAACGCAGTGTGAGAGTGAAGTCAGTGCTGCTAGCACGCTTAGCACTTTTACTGTGTGCCTAAAGCCAGAGCTATTTCAATCATTGTTCGCATCATCACCGCAAAAATAAACAAGAAAATTTCGTTACATGAGAGTTTATCCACTGCCATACAACCACAAATGCTGGGAAATGACCACACTAATGAAGAATATCAAAGGAAAAGAAGGGGTGAAGAAAAACACAAATGTTCAGTTGGACATTTGCGATCAGTGGTTGCGTTTTGCTGATAAGGCACAATCACGAATACTCGAGTATCGTGCGATGAAACGCCCACGATGGGACAGTTTCTTGCTGACTTTTATCGCTCCGTATAATATTTAACCACACCTCATAGATAACTCGGCAATATACCCAAACAGTAGACATTTAGTTTTTGGATGTTTGTGAGAAGTGTAAACATTTAATCCGGACAGAAGATGAAAGCAGATATGTTGCTAATGTCGTGTACTGGATTGGTCAAATGAAGTCTAACCCAGGAGGATCAATAATACCCAGCCTACGGGTCAGTGAGACAACTTCTCACTCCAATGGATTATTGGATGACCATTGAGTCTTACAGGATCCTGGGTACGACTGACGAGAGAAGGTCATCCTCGGGAAGTGGCTGGAAAGAGCATGTTCGGTTCAACACCACGTTGCTCAACTGCACTTGTTGGCCCATCGAACCAACCTGACTATCACCAATAGGCATCCGCTTACGCATCTAATTATCGCGGATACGTTGTTATGACGCAAAACAGTGTACGATGGACAGTAGAGAGCAAGAAACAGTCTTCCTTGAAGAGAAGAACGGTCCTTTCTGTGGTTACGCACAGCAGACCTTTAAAGACAAAAAGAGTCCCTAGCGCTAAATATGCAAAATAGTGGTGTAGGTAGCTTAGATATTAGAAAAAGAGAGATAATGACCACAGCACAACGTAAACTGATACCAATGCAGACACCGAGATTAGTGAACTGACCGACTATCTTCAATTTCTTCTATTCAAAATCCGAATAGAAAGTATAGGGCGGAAAGTTTGGTCAGTCCGCATGGCATTTTAATTACTTTCCAGTTGACGATTTTGGACTTTCCTTTCTATTCCCATTTCGCCCAGCTGTTGTCAGACATTACTGCTACTAATAATAACAGAATAATCATCAGTTTAAAAAGTAAACGTAGGGCCACCGGAAAAAACCATGGGAAACATGGGAAAGCACCATCTGATCAAAAATAGACTGAAATATGTTTTGCTTGTTTTCCACACGTCATTTTCCCCTTTGTTGTCAGTTATAATGTCACTTGACGCAATTCCGTATACAATCATCATTATCAGCATAATTACACATGAATTGAAGGTAAGAAACACACTTCAGCTGACTGTGCAGCAATACAAAAGATAAGATGTATGAAGAACGAGATGATTAATATTACAGAATACAAAAAGCAAGTAATATAATGCTAGATGTTATATTATCCTATGTACACAGATATCCACCAATTCCGCTTGCGGAATCAGTCAAGCCACACCGGCACTCCCAGTCCTTGGGTCTGCATTCAGGGAGATGCAAGGGGCCAACTGCGTCTATACCACTTCTCAAATGATTGTAGCCTTAAATCAATGGCTTTCATGCGTAGTACAGCAGCTCGCATTCTTAGTGCAAAATCCGAGTCATGGAAATTGCATCCACGACATCCTCAGTGAGTCATCTGTCCGCTCGCCTCAAACGGACATCTCGTCTTTTTTCACTCAAGTCCTCTTTTGGAAACCGTTTTGACTCCATGCGCAACACGCTCGATCAAGCAAGGAAGCGCGATCCAGTGCTCCGGACATGTTCAATGCTACGTATACATTATTCCGAAACTGAGCTAACATCGCCAAACCTTCACATCTCAGGCTTTGGGGTTTGGAGCCAGTTTGTGGGCAAGCCCCTGCTTCCACCACCTTATTGTCTAATGCTGGTGCGCACCTAGATAAGCGGATGGCTTGAGTGAGCAAACGAGATGTCCGTTTGAGGTCAGAGGATAGCTGACTTATTGAAGCGTTGTGGATACAATTTCCGCGACTATCGGATTATGGTTTTCGCGCTAAGGATGTAGGCTGCTGCACTATGGAGGAAAGCGATTGCGTTAATGACGCAATTGATTGAGAAATGGTATAGACGTGACGTCACCAATTTCATGTGCTGGCGAGGTGTGGTAGGTTGACAACCACGCGATAGCGCCCAGTTCGGTCCCGGATAAGCGAATGGAGAGAGGAGCGGGAAACGCTAGTGTGCTATACGTAGAACGCGACCGAGCTATCCGAACTGGCGCAGTATAACCAGCTCGCATTCCCCTGAACAATATATGCAAGCAGAAGCACTGAAAACACAACGCTTTACCTAGATGGAGAGATCCCGATGACGCCACAAGTACCTCGGATTGACAAATGATAATCAGGCTTTAGCGATGCGAAAAGAAATCTACTTACTGATAGTACTGCCAGCAGAAACAAAGTTCCCAAGTTAGACGAAACTATCTACCTATTTAAGTTGTGCACATTTTAGAGTGAGCACGAAAGCGAGTGTGGGCCAATCTGAGACAAAACTTTACATCTCGATGGGAGCGAAGCTTATGCCATACTTAGATGCTTTAACTGCAAAACCATCTAGAATGAGTTGTATACTCTGTGGATTATCACCAAGAAAGGTGATATCATCAGCATAGTCTAAGTCGGTCGCGCGCTCACCCGGTAGAAGCATTAGATCAAAATTTTGGAAACCTTCTAGAGGTCTCGACAGGAGGTTTTCGATTGCGAAGTTGAAAAGGGGTGAGACTTAGGGAAATCTTGGCGCACACTGCTTTTGACAGCGAAGGGCGAGGGGAGATTGCCGTAGACCCTCATTTAGCATGAGGTTTGAAGGTTAAGTGCATGCATGATGGCGTTATACCTCTCTAAATCCCGTTCATTAGCAATCAGGTCGATCAACCGAATCAAATGCAGCCCTAATGTCCAGAAATGTGACAATAGTTGGCCCGAGATAAATGTGGTGTTGTTCAAGAAGTTGGAAGTAAGTGAAGAGTTGATCCACGCACCCATGGCCATAACGGAAAACAGGTCGTTCTTCACTGTAGTATGTACTGTGGATAGTGTCACCGTTTCTCTTCAACTATGCGGTGGAGGATATCTTATTCAGTGCTCTGGAAGGCTTCCAGGGTTCTGGGGTAGGGCATCTTCCAGTAAATCGCGCGAAGACTAGGAGTATGCTGACGATTTTGTCTTACTCGGTGACGACCCATAGAAAATGCACATCGTTCCAAACCGCTTGGTGAGTAAAGTTACCAAGTATATCATGACCTTCGTTCCATGGAAGTGCGAGGTCAAACAGCAGGATTGACATCCGCCTGTCCCCCGTGCCGATTATTGAAGGCGCGCAGCTTGAACAAGCTGATAGCTTCATGTACTTGGAAGTTGGGTTTCTTCTGATGGTACCATTGGAAGAGAAAGTACTCTCCGCATTGCCAAACACTAATCAGCTTTCGCTGATCTGAGGCATATGTGGTATCATCGTAAGGTTACACTCCCTGTAAATGGCATGGTCCACGATGCCTGTATTCGCGTGGTCCTGTTGTACGGAAGCGATTTCTGGCCGATCCATGTAAATGATTTGCGTCGGATTTCGGTCTTTGACAACCGTTGTCTGCGAAGAATAGCTAGCGCAGTGGGAACACAATGTTTGCAATGTCGATGTTAGACGTCACATCCTGGGTAATACAAGTCCCCTCTCAGTATGCTAATATTGCTGCGCCAACTAAGGCTGCTAGGTGAGGTCCTACGCATGCCTTGAAAGCGTTTACCACGGTGCGCGCTATTCGCTCGCGAAGGGACGCACTGGAAGAAATCGCGTGGCCAACCTAACACATGGCGACAAAACGTCAAGATGCTGGTTTTGAGTTAAACTGTTGTTGGCCCCGTACATCTTCCGGGCTGGAGAGTCCGAGATGAAGAACATCTTCCAATGATAGGCTGGTATTCCGCCGTCTGCATAGATGGCTAAGCCTCTGTAATGCCACACGCACCTTGCTGATAAGCGAAACAACTTCCTCAGCGATGTGCCCACCAAAGAGGACACAGCTATCAAGGTAAACGAACCGATCCAGCCCTTCCATTGGCTGGTCGGTGATAGCTAGAAACGGAGGTATGTCGGATCACTCTTGCAGCAGTACTTTGCACTTTGAAGGTGCAAAGCACATGCCGAAGCGTACAGCGCTACGTGTCAGTCTGCACTAGTGTTTGCATAGCCACTGCGTCAGGTCCAAGAAGAGCTATGTCCGTATACTCTAAGCTTAGCAGTCGGTCAGCTGGTAGAATATTCACTAAGAATCGTCTGAAAGAACCGAGTTATTCATGGTCATTACGATAACAAAATTGAAGAAGAAAAGAGAGATAGGACAACGCTGACGAATCCGACTTGTTGTGGGGAATTCAAGAAACCGTTTCCCGTGGACTCTTACACGGTCTCGGGAATCACGGTGGAGAGACTTCAGAATGGACAGGAATATAGCCGTGATCCGTACAAAGTGGGGAAATGGGACTCAGATTTGATTAAAACAGTGCTCCAGTGTAAGATAGATAATTGTACTAACTCAAAAATGCCGTTCAAACGATGGCGCACCCTCTGTAAACTGGCTTCAAACATCAGGCAAAGACCCCGATGAGCTGTACAAAATGGCAAAATTAAGTATCTCGCGTCAGTGTCAGTGTTTCAACCGCCGACAGACAGAGAAGTTCAAGCCAAAAAGCAGTTTGCGGATTATCATGGAAACTTCGCGAAACTGTGACGGACAAGTAAATCCCGACCGATATGCAGGTCAAGAAATGCACTACGCAAGGCCATGACAAAAAACAAGTGTAGACTTATGGGTTCAGAAATGCAGTACATAACTAAAAGTCGAGAAGAATCCACGTAGTGATGCAAAAAGCAGCGTGTCAATCCGAAAGAATCACGGAATGAGCTGCAAAGGTTCACCCAGAAGAACCTAAGTGCTAGTCAACTGCTGAAAACAGAAGCGCAATGCAATTCGCGAATAATAACCTAAATGAATGGACACATTTATTTACAACCGGGAGAGAAGTGGATGAGTTGAGCCACCAAACTCGATAAAGTCCTTTTGCCCAGTGCTGCTTAGCTGCATATGAGCGGATGATAATAATAATAATTATTATTATTATAATTTACCAGCTGTACGCCGTAGAGGCGCCTCGCTGCCGTGAGACCACTACCAGTCTCGCGCGGGCAGAGTATACCTCGAGGACGCCAATCCCTACACGGATTCGAACAGGTGACCTTATGGTTCTAAATCAGACGCGAAGACCACTCGGCCACCGGCCGAGCGGATCGATACTCATAAAAACGTGTTAGTACCGTACAGTGTTCAGGGATGGAGAAGGCAGCAGAATTAGACGGCTAAACTTACATTTTCTTCCAACTTTACTTTGCTCACCAAGTCAGCTTCTTCATCATCCTCGGTGTCTGGCTCCGAAGGCAAATCAGAGTTATCAGACATGCTGAAATGACAACCTCGTATTGCCCGGCGCCTTTTCGGATCGGAGAAAGGTTTGGAACTGCATGAATCTGATGCAGATTCGTTATCTTGTTCGTCTTCCCTCAATGGCCAATAAGATGGATGTACGGGAATGGTAATCCCCTTTTCGGCATCCAACTGGAAGCACATGTTGCGGGCAGAGACGAGCTGGTTTTGAACTCGACAGAGTTGGTACTTGTGAGACATAGCAGAGCGAAACATGTTACGTTCAGCCTGAATTTTCCTCTTCCTAAATTCCAGAATAGCCTGCAGTCTCTCCTTTCTAGATGAGACGAGGCCGAGACCAGATTTGCCCTCTGGCAAGTCGATTGGGACCGGTTCAAGACGACCCTCTGCTGTGAGAGGTAAACACGAATAACGACGTAGTAAATGTGGATGGAACTGGACAACACAATTTCTATCGAAAACAAAAAAGCCTTCTCACGAGCATCCGCAACACACAAACTGAGGTATTAAGTTTAAACAGAAAGGCCTCCATATGATTGATATTAAACCTAAAAATGAGGCAGATGATTATAAGCTGATAAGCCCAGATGGAGGGAGCAACAGTTGCGAGCTGTCATATATCATACAATACGAGAACTCGCAACGATGCCGAAAGTAAACGGCATTTGGTCGCCAAATTGAAGTACACTCTACATCTCTCTTTGAAATGGTGAAACGTGGCTGTCACGCAGCAACTCTGCGACATACAAATCGCACAATTGACTTGAAAAATTACGCGGAGGCTAAAATGCCACAATTGGCGTCAGTAAAAATAAATGAAGCCAATTGTTCGTGAGTACGTGAACAAAGCGTTATCACGGATTCATAGTGCTGGTGATCAAGTTGTAATCACACCGCAAAACATGAATGCACTGCGAGTTTAGCGACTCTACGGAAAGTCTGCGGACAGGGAATAGGATTAACAACATAAAAGAGAAATGCGCAAGAATGAGATCCTTCCCATGATAAGAGTGCGCAGCGATCAAAGTCGCTGAGGGAAAGAGCATGATATACAATGAGAACAAACTGCCGAGAAAAAGGATGTTTTCAGAAGCCAGAACCGGAAAGTGAGGTGGAAACACAACGCGCCACATTGAAGGCAAGTTATATGAAGGAGGCATGCCAGAGTTGGGAGCGATGCCACGAAGGAATGACTCCTCCATCGCCCTCAAACCAATCGCACCAGGATCAGAATGAAATTTGGTAGTTGGATAAATGGAGCGCAGTACATTGCACTGTATTGTCACGTTAGAAGTACATGATAAACGCACAAGGGACTGGGAGAACAGGAAGAAGAATAGGACAGAGGGTGGAACGAGCAGTAAAACTAACGAGAGAGCCGTAAACTGAGTGTTCACAGGAAGAAGTAATTGGCATATCTGAGTATATTGAAGTGATAGAAAAGGCAAACAAATCCGCTTGAATTTGCATGTCATAGTAGAAGAACGGAAAAGGAAGCGAATATAAGCGTGCGCGTCCAATTTGACAAAACAAGAATTGATCAGTATGCGGCTTCTAAGGCACTACACACAATCTGAAGGTGGAATATTAAACGGCACCTCACCATAGGCTAATTCGTGTGACACCCACAAAGACAGGAAGGCATACCAAGTAGACAAATTAGCTTGAGCGGGACAGCATAGGGTCGACATCTAAGCATTTCATGAAAGCAGCACAGATCTGTGGAAGACTGTTGTGGTATAGTCAAAACACCTGGACAGAGGGGATCATCGATCTCTCCCCAATCAAAGCAAAAATAACGTCAGCAGTATACCGGAAGTTCATGGTCATGTTTCGCTGCCGTGCGAAATCAAATGGTTAGGATGCTACTGGGTTGAAGAGACTACGATTCAGAGCACCTGAGAAGTCTTGATCAGTACAGCGCAATGGATCATAGAGGTAGCTAGATCATCACATCCAAGTTAGGGTCCCCACCACGGTCGTGCATAGAAATCAAAGGAATTTGAATGGGGAATTGGTAAATCATAAATAGACAACTTACAATTCTTTCCCAAACCTTCACCGGGTTTGTATCCCATTTTCAGAAGTAGGCCAAAGCCTTTATTTGAGGAATCAACTTGTTTTCGAAGTCCCTCTTCTCGCACCTTGGCTTCACTGTCCCGTCTGCAACGTTCCATGTAACTTTTGGCAGATTCATCAGACGCACGCTTGCGAGTGACGCTACGAACGGTTACTAAGCCAGGAGGTGGAGTGGATCTGTAAAGATAACTTGAACGTCAAATAACCGTGAACGACTTACAAAGATTCAAGAATAGCATCAGACATATAGTCCAGCTCCTCGTCATCTTCACTGGTTCTTTTCATTGTTACTAACAGATAATCAGAGTAGTCTGTGCATTCAAAAACCGAAGTTGCTGAAGGAGAAGCCGTGGCTATTTAACAGTTCTACCAAAGCAGTGGTTCATGATATCACAGTTGACATTTAACAAGATATCAGGGATGCATCAACACTAGGCAGTGACGCTGCGCCACTGTGCAAAAATGCAAGCGGCGACACGCGAGAAGGGATTCGGCCAGGGCGCTCAAATCTAGGTGAGAACGAGTGCTTGGACATGGAGTGCAAAGGTTACAAAGCAAATGTTAAAACCAATACACACCAGACCCTTTTGACATAGGTTAAACACGAGATGGACATCGAAAGCGAGGGAGTAACATGAATCAAGCTAGATCGAACGAAAACTCAGCAGCTGTCAAGGTCGCTGATAAACTGCTTTTAATGAAATATTCCGCAACACCAAATGATTAGTACCTAAATTAATACGCCCGTTAGTAACTCCTTTGGCAGAGGTAAAACAGCAAAACTCAACATCAATAGACCGGGAATCCTTAACAACAACAGCAGTGCACCATTATCTCGTATTGATCCTCACTTGCCATACAACTGAATGTCCGAATGGTGACCGAAGTTCAGGTGCATTGCGGAAACAAATCAAGGCGAGGCCGGTAGCGCAGCAACTCAGTTTAGGATATGCGAAGCTAAGAAAATCATAACAAATGAGATATATGAGAGGGTCTAGCTTTGACTCTACATATATGATATAGAAGAGCGCAAAGGTGACGTAGAGTTTAAACACGTGTAATGTGAGCAAAATAGTAATGGAAGATCCAACGTTTCATTCGTCTATAACCCTTAAGGATAGAGCATAAAATCGTTCGTTCCCATTATTTGCAAGCAATATAACCAAAGCTACAGCTTTTGCTGGAACAGATCGATGTTTCAGTGTTTATCGAAATAACTGATGAGGAAACCAAAAGAGTTCCCAGTTGAAATTCAGGTGGGATCGTAACGAATGCTAAAAGACATAATACTCAAATAAAACTAGGGTACAATCAAAATGGATCTTAAACAGTCGTTATGAAACGATGATCCGCCATGGATAAATTGTGTCGTCTACCAGATAACTCAGCCCAGTAGATGTGCGCAGCGAGTCCTATGCGATGACGAAAAAAAACTGTAAGCGCGAAGGAGTAACACTTAAAGGAAGGCTGACAGAGTGCTACTCTACGTCAAAACTCTAGGGCTGAGGAAATAAAGTATGCGATCTCAAAGTCAAGAATGTGCTTTAGGCGCGACTGCTTCTGTGTGCAATGTGCTGTGGCTGAAATGCAAACCAGATACTTCATAAGCGACTGGATAGTTTTTTCACAACCACCTAGTAAGAGAAATAGATAGAAGGTGGGCAGAACAAACACGTGGCGAGCTATATGCTCAGCAGATGAGTTGCTGGTCAAGCTGGGCGATTGGGTTGCAGACGTTTCATCACCAGTCAAGGTGACATCAATGCAGCAGAGTTAGCGGTCTGATAGCAGATATCGGCAGAATACGCAGACAGGATATTAACATGGTGCGATGATTTGTGCACCTCTGTGACCCATCGAGCAACGCTGGGTGGAAGTTTTCAAATGCGTCCAGAACCACTCACACCAGGCAGGTCAATAGTTAGGCGTCAGGCTAACTCAATCTCATAATCTAATCGCAAGCGTAGGTTAGGGAAAGTTGGATGGTCCACTTCCATTCAAACCTAGTCATGGGCGACAACAGGCCTACGGATTATGGGCTCACAGCTCGTGTAGAGCACGAGCGGAACGCATTATCTCTGACGGTGGGAGGGCACCTTCCGGTGCGCAATGGTTTGCTACCGACCGCCTCAAGTCAGGCAGACCCTGGTCAAATTGGTGCAAACCCACCAACTCCCATCTGCGACTGGCCGTGGTCGCAGGTGCGTAACGTAATACGGTCGTAAAACAAGTGCATTGTTCCAAATCTTCAGACTGTATGTGAGAGACACCGAGCGGATCCCAAAGGATCTCTGCAATCACACTTCCGATATGGACTTCCTTCACAGTGCTTTGCAGATCAGGCTATTGAGTCAAAGGCTTCGGGTAGACTCCCCTCAAGGGAATCGTCATGTACCCCGTTGCATTGTGGGTAAAACTGTTGAATCAAATGCCAGAGGTAGGGCAGATCGAACAAAATCCCTCTCTCAAAAAGGGAAACTGACGAGTATCATATGTCTCCCAACTCCATCGACAACACTTCTTTTTCACTTATAAATAAGTTTCTCTCCACTCTCGCGCCTTCTTCCCCGTCTACAGAGCACGAAACTGCAGCTGACCTCGTAGAGGATACCAAGATAATGTTAACTCCTCCAACAAACCACGATTTTCATTTCACATTGGGTTTTTCAACAATCGTACCCTAGGTCAGGTCGGGTAACAAGCAGCACAGACTCTCACTCTTCACTCTCTGGTATTGATGTGCGCTGTCTCCGAAACATACAAACAAGATAACGGCGTTGTGACTAATCTTCGAATCTCTGGATCTGACGACGATGACTACACTCTGATGGTACCGACTCAATGACCCAATATATTTACGGTGCTGATACCGCCCACATCGAACATGCTGAAGGTAATCTACTCGATTGGATACCTGTGAACAACCACATGTGTGCGATTCGATCTCGAACCTCTGTTGGGGTAAATAAGCACCGTATGAAGGTGCCTTTTCATCATCTCCGTTTATGCTCCTACTGAATGCAGTTCAGAGGGTACGAAGGACGAGTTCTATCACCATCTTTCGTCTCCTCTCCGCATGGCGAAAAAATAACATCGTAATTGTTGCTGGTGGCTTGAATGTCAAAATGGGTCGTCTTCCAGATTCAGAACAACCCTTGAGAGGGGTCGATGCACGTTGACTAGACAATGATGATCGATTGTTGTAACTATGCGCCGACCACAATGTTTCTATTAGAAGCACTGCTTTCCAGCACAAACCATCACGCTGCGTCACCTGACGCCCATCAAAGTACTCAATGATCTGGACCCAAATTAACCATATTGTCATTAGCTCCAGATGGCGCAAATCAATCCAAGACTGCCGGTCAACTAGGAGCATATGCCTAGGCTCCGAGCATACTATAGTGCGCACACGCCTGGCAAGCACTCTTCCTGGTTCAAAAAGCGCCTATTCGCTAACCTTTTACTTTTAACCTGAACTCGCAATTTGGGTTTTAACAGTATCATAAGGAATTGGCCCACCAAATGTCAATGATGAATGAAGTTAGTGGGTCGAAACCTGACTGTGATCGTCTCAACGGTCTCGTGAAGAATGTCTTTGACGTTTGATGTGCACCATACTTGGGAACTAACTGAATGGATCTGAGGCACAAATCAGTGTGATCGAAACACAGACCATCATTATCAACATCAGCCACTTGAACTGATGCTTCGCTGCCATATAATTACAACAAACTAGGAAGCGAAGAATAATAAAAGAGTGATTTGCCGGAAAACAGTAATTCCCTACGCAAACGTTCAGGGTCAAGACGCCTTCATCTTGTTGACAACATACCGTCACGAACAGATGAATATTGTGCAAAAATTAGGCTTCTTACGACTTCCCTTGCACCGTGGAATAATCAGCCATTACCATGCCGAGGACTCAGCGCCAAACCCACCTTAAACAAGCAGCCCGACTACGAGACGGTAGCGGACACGCCACTGGTGGCGACTGAGCCATGCCCTGTAAACTTTCGAACCAAGCACAAAGCGAACCATATGGACTCCAGGGGGAAAGACAAGATGGATCGACAGCAACAAGTTTGATCGTCAATGACTTTATTTGCCGGTGTCAAGCTAAGTTTGCCCACCTCCAGCCTTGCGCACCCTACATCTAGTAAACAAAACAACTCCCTCCTCGATAAGCGGTGACTGCATATACGCAACTTATTTATTGCTATCTGCTGTTCTATGGGACTAGCATGATTTTCAATGTCTAGGAATCGCCTACGCACACCATCGATGCGGGCATGCTTGTACCATCCGACAACAGCAATCCTTCGCAGACAACGATAGCAAGGACCTGAGGGCGCATCAGTTCCTCAGATCGAAAGGGCCAAGTTTCACTCCCATCATCATCATCATCATTATACATGTCAGCCAGAGGTGGTAAAACACCTCCGCTACTGTACCGCAATGCAAAAAGAAAACACATACATACATACAATACATAAAGGAAAAATAAATACGACAGTTGCATGCCAGTTGAGCTACCAGCAACGGATAGGCATCGTTCCGGTAAGCTACCAGCCGGCTACTAGGCAAAAACAAAAAATTAAATTGTTTTACCTTACGAAATAATATCGTACACGGAGGGGGAGGCTAAAATGGATGGGGAGGGACAAAGAAACTCACAGCAGGAACGCCAGTGAGGTCGGCTCCTTGCCATGTCAACAAGTGTATCCAGCCAAACGTGTTCACCGTCTTTTGGACCCCAACCAGGGAGCCGTGAAGCTCCAACCGAGGCTAGCTCAGAAGTGAGGGACTTCATCCCTCTGGACCAAGTCATCGCATGGCCACCTCTCCTTTTCTTCCACCCACATCCCCGGTGAGCAAACAACGCACATCGAGGGAGTCGGTGGGCTGGCATGCGCAACATGTGATCCAGCCATCGGAGCGTGGTGTGGGTAATAACGGTGCTGAGCGGTTCAGATCCTTTTTCTGGGCCGTAAACAAGGAGTCGAACACGATCGTTACTCACGCGGTGTTCCCACCATATGTGAGCCAAACTGCGAAGGCACCGACATTCGAACGTAACTAGCCTCTTCAGGTCCGCTGCTTTAAGCGGCCAGGTTTCGCAACCGTACAGTAGAGTCGAACGTAGCGCTGCATTGTACACTCTACCCTTCAGGGCGAGAGTAATGTCGCGACGTCGCCCTAGGTAACGAACGTTAGCAAAAGCACTTCGAGCTTTCGCTATACGGTTCGTGATCTCGTGTTCGATCCCAAGGGCGCTGATACAACTTCCCAGGTAATTGAATTTCTGAACGACTTCTAGCTGATCCCCACCAAGT